CCTACTTGACCAAAGTGATAAATGTTTTTAAAAAATGCTCCCCTTCTTCCTGTTTCCAGAATCCAGAGCTTCACTGCACCAAGTGCAGCTCAAGCCCTACCATACCCTTGAAATCATTGCCAAGGGCAAAGCTGCCTTCTGTGTGGCACACATCCAGATGCCCATTCTGAACGAGTCCTGATTTGAAGGGGGTGGAAGTATAATGCTTACCTTCAAAGTGGATATGATGGATCCCATGTAATTTGTGAGCTGGCTACAGAATGGGAAATGGGTGGACTGAACACTGGTCGATTAGCTGTCAGTCCCATTTCATTTTGGACCAGTTTCTGGTAGCTGTCATTACCATTCCATTTTAGACCAATTTGTGGCTGAGTACAGTCTTCTGACCATGGGGGTATGCAGCCATCGCTCTGATCTCATTGCCATCATGATCCAATCAGTTGAGAAGTCACTTGTCAGCACCTTGCCTTGGACTCCAGTCAGTATCATAGTCATAACTTTTCTTGTTGAGAGACCTTACTTGGAACAAAATTCAAAGTCATAAAAGATACCAGGCTTCCTGGCCAGATGCAGGCTGGTGGAACCAAGAGTAATGGTGGTCCTACGGCACCCTTAGTTTCTGAAACTGTACTCACTCCCCTTGGCTCAATTTTCAGCCAAACAATGGATGGTTCTATAGGGGAGCAATGAATACTTTAGAATAACCAGCCATGTAAGATCAAGTGGGCAATATTTGCTTGAGGACAAAGATGAGCCGGAGGAGTAGAAGTAGGAAACATGGCGTGGGGGAGTGATGTTGGATTGAGAGGCCTGTATGAATGAGACTCGTCAAAATGTATTATTTGATGTATGGAATGTAAAACTGATGATCATTTTATAATAAAAAGCTTGAAAGAATACCTCATATTAGTTTTTCTCTTTCTTCGGGGTAGTGTTGAAAAGAGACCAGTTACGAGGTTTGTCGTGTGATCAATAAGTCTGCCTGTGTGTGTGAAAGAATGTTCTCTACTTTGAAGAAATTCTATCCTTTGCCTCAAAGACTATGAACTTTTCCACACAATTGACTAATGCCTTCCTCTGCTCTTCAGAATTGACATAGGTTTAATATCACAGGCTCCTCTGACAAGAGTTGTCGTCATTGTTTTCCACTACAAGTTCATGAAGCACGACAGGGTTCTGGTCCTCATTTTGCAGTTGAGGACATAGTGACAAAGGGTTAAGCATCTTTTCCAATCCCACACATCACAGCACAGGTAGAGTAAGCATTAGAAACAATTTCCCTGGAGATACAGTGAACCCTCGTTTATCACGGTTAATCGGTTCTAGACCCTACCGTGATAAATGAAATTCCGCAAAGTAGGATTCCTTATTTGTAAATCAAATATTTTCATAGTTAGAGCATAGAGAACATGAAAAAACACCCTTTAGTCACCATTACACTCATATTACCCAATTTATTAAACGAAAAAGGGAAAATACAGTAAAACATTTTGGACGTTACAATTATCATTTATTATTTATTATATTATTTATGACATCAAGCGTGTTCAGTATGAGCCAATCAGTGGCAGTAATGACAGAGCATGCGCTGTTACGCAAAAACCGCGATAGAGTGAAGCTGCGGAAGTTGAAGCGCGAAGTGGCGAGGGTTCACTGTATATATATTTCAAACAAACAATAAGCAGGTCACAAAATAACAATACTTTGGAATCATACCCAATTGGAGAATTTTATAGGAAATAAATGTTTACAGTTATATCAGGAACAGATATTTATTCCTCCAGGCCCCCGCCCCCGCTCTCTTTCCTAGTCTTTGTCACTAGGTGTCATTGACTTGATCTGGACTCATAGCGATCCCTTGTGACAAGAGTAGCACTGCCCCACAGCATTCATATGCACATTACCTGCATATTACTACCAAAGTACATTGATTACAGTTCTAGTTTCTTTTGCTTCCTTCTAAAAGGTATGCTATGGGAAACGGGGGTTAGAATTTCTTTGGCATATCGTGTCTATTTTACATATCATTTCTGAGGGATGCAAATGGGCAAAAGAAGCTGCTTGTTCCTGCAGGACTGACTCACACTTCCGTGCCTTTACAGCTACCTTCTCCACCAACTCAAATGCACTCCGCATCCACCACCCATGACGTCTTCAAAACACGCTGAGGGGCCCACCTATTGTCATTGAATTGACCACGCCTCCTCCAGGGCCCCTGGTTTCATCTTCCTGATTTTGATCATAGGCCTCCCTCTGCTTCCCTCTGTGACTGAAATGTCTGTTTCTATCCAACTATGCAAATAGGCTCCTCACACCAACATTTGGGTCACTCTTATGCAGTCTCCTTCACCCTTGCTCCATAGATAATTTTAGACTTTTAAAGCAATACATGCTCATTGATAAGTGGCTCGTATGATATTTTTAAAATTTGCAAATCACTTTAAATTATGCAACCAAAATACAATCACCATTCACATCTAAGTAGATTATTCTGTCTGCCTATGTGTGCATATTTTGAGAAGCTAGCCTATGTGCGTGCACACAGACTGACACAAACAAACCTGCACAAAACATTACCTAAACAGATACATGCTTTATGCTGATTATTGTTTTCTTAATACCATGGCAACTTCCTAGGTCAACATCTCTCTGTATGATTTTTAAAGGCTCCTTCTCATTCTGATTTAGTAATTGCCCTGACTTGTTTAGGTTGCCATTTATCAGCATTACCAGCAGTAGTGGTAGAATTGACTTGCTCAAAATATCAATGTAAAAGTCTCATCGCTACCCTCCCTTTCCTTGAAAGTAAGGGTTGGTTTTGAACCTCTTCAAGGCAGGCCATAATCTGCTCTGATCCCTTTAGTTTGGGGCTGTGTCCTGTTATTGCCTGTACGGTGAAGAGATTCCAACCCAGAAATGAGATACCTTTAGTTAAACATTCATTTTCTTATGAGGACCACGCATAATTATATAGTAGGAATTTGATTTTTCATGATTTCTCCTTTTATCAACAATTGAAGTAGGATCTTGCATAATTTTTGTGAATAATTCGAATATTACCTCCTACTCAACTGACTTCCACCCAGTCAATTGTGGCTCCTAGGGACCATGCAGGACAGGGTAGAACGCTCCCTGCGGGTTTCTGAGACGTCACTCTTTATAGGAAGCCACATCTTTCTCCTGAAGAGCAGGTGGTGGTTTCAAAGAGCTGGCTTTGCAGTTAGAAACTCAATGTGTAACCCATTCATGGGCTCCTCTTCTCCACTACTAGAGGACACATGTCTGGATTTTACACCAGAAACCCAAACCAGAGTCCCACCATGCTGTCAAGTTGATTCTATCTCCTGGGAGCCCTTTGTGTTAGAACTAAACGATTAGGTTTTCTTTGAACACAGAACATCAGGCCTTTTTTTTTTCAGGGTGTAATTTTGGATGGGTTTGAATTGCCAATGTTTAGATTAGTAGTCCAGGGCAAGCCCTTTGTATTACCCAGAGACACTGTGTTTTCTACATCCTTCCTGTATTTTGTGGTCATGACACATACTTGTTTTAAATAGATATTTCCACTTTGCCAACCACTTCCATCCGTTGGTAGACATTGATTTCTGATATAGTCCTTTTGGAAGTTTTCTCTAATCTGGAATTAAATCAAAAACTACTCAGATACTTTATTTTTGCTGAAATGGGTCATCTGAGATATTTTTGAAAGTACAAAGCCTCATCACTGTTGCAGCTTATTTGTGTCAATTTTTGAGTGTGCTCTGAATCAGAAAAGTGTCATCCATTTCAACTGTGTAGCTGAGTAATCCAAATATAGACTGTTGATCTTATGTATGTCTTCTTTGTCTTCAGTTGCAGTCAAAATTCTCAGACATTCTTCATCCCTTGGTTTAAATGCTCCATAGCACTAACACAATCTCTCTCTTAGGAAGCCTGTTTATTTCCATAATCATCTTCCGCTTTAACTCGTATCTTGCCAACTGTCCTGGACAATTCTGTCCTAATATAAAATTAATGTCATTTTTGTTTTACTCATGAGCGTGTAGAGCAGGCAATGCCATTTCCTGTTCCCTGCCTATTTGTTGGAATTGACTAGCCTATAGTGAGATTCATTTGTTTTTACCAAAATATTTTCTCCCTGTGTTGATTCTTACACTCCCCACCATGCCATGTCACACCTGTGCTTCTTTATAGAGAGATTCTTAAACATCATGTATTTTTCCATCAAGGGGACATCAGGTAATATCTAGAGACATTTTTGATGGTCAAGAGAAGATTATGGGTATCACTGGTGTATGATTAGAAGATACAAGCATTGCTTCTGAACTGCTACAATACACACAACCATGTCCACAACAAAGAATTGCTCAGTTCAAAATGACAATAGGAGTAAGTTTGGGAAATTCTGTTCTATAGAAAGTGACTTTTTCCTTTTTTTTTTTTTTTTTGACAGAACTTTCCATCCCCTAAATATTTAGGCTCATCTATTTCCATGATATGCCATCCATGTTTGGTTCTTTGGTTGGGGTGAGGCAGCAGTCATTATCTTTGCCAAAAAGTTTTCCATTGTGGGTAAAACAGTAAATGTATGATCCACTGAACTATGGGGACCGAGACTGGGACACAAGGGAGATTCGCGCATTTTAGTCAGTCAAGAATAAAACTGCTGTCGCCATTTGCCATCAGTTGATTCTGATCCATTTTTACCTCATGTGTGCGGAGGGGAAGCGCTCCATAGGACTTTCAGAAGCAGTTCACCAGATCGGTCATCCAAGGTACTTCTGAGCAGGTTCAAGCTGGTAACCATTTGGCTAAGGGTACAGAACTTAACTCCTTGTGTACTCTGAAGATAAATGAGTGTGATGGGCATCTGGTCCCTCTCCTCCAAAGGGCATTTGTTGTTATGGAAGCTGCGTTTGCAAATAGGTTGAGGAGCACGCTACGGGCAACATGATATTAATAGTTTCTTTTTTTCCCCCCTCTACCTATTTTTGTTCCAGACATTTCACATTTTCAAGAACAAAATGACTTGAAAGGATTACTAGAAAATCTCCATCAAAATATCCAAGCCAAAAAACGAAAGAACGTAGAGATCATGTGGCTGGCTGCAACGGTAGGACTCATGCCAAATCATGTCCCCTGCCAGGAGGGTGGCCAGCAAGCTCTGTAATGTATCCATGATGCAGGGCCTATGCTTTGCATTGTGGGTACTAGGTATCAACCCCCATAATCCAGGGAATGAGGCATTTCAGGGTGGTAGCTAGTTCTATCCGTATACCAGAGTACAAGAAGGCTTACCCATTGGTTGGTCTTGTAAATCCTGGGAGGGTCTGAGATTTAAAGGAGAGTTTCTTGATAGTGTCTGTTGCAATGACCGTCTTCATTATCAACAATGATTTTGAACTGACGCTCTCAACTCTACAGGCAGATGGTTTCAACAGGGTGTGGTTATCAAACCTCTGACTTACAGCCCCGGCAGGGCTTCTAGACAGACTGTTTCATTAACAAGCTTTTAACTGTGTTTGTTAATTTAGATATGGGCATAGAATTTATTGCTGACGGATTTCTCCTAGAGTAACGAACCATGATATAGATGGTTGTCTCTTGTTTAATGCCACCCTCCGGGGATTAAGGGCTGCGGGCTTTCTCACCTCAGGCTTCCAAAGGAGCGAAGAGGGTTTTTGTTTTGTTTATTGTTTGCTTGTTTTGAGGGAAGGGGATAATTTTGTTTTTCTGGAAACCATTTCGGCAGAGTTTACATGAAGCTATGAATTATGCAAACATTCAGACCGAAAGATCCTTTCATTGGTAAAGGATCTTTTCATTATGGAAGGAATATATTGGGGACGTGAACAATGAATGCCAGGTGTGCAGTTACAGAACAGTGTGGCTCATGTAATTTGCAATCCAGGTTAACAAATTGCATGGCATATTGTATTCATTCTTTATCAATGGTGTATAAAATAGCACCTTCTACCCTATTGCCAGTGCTTCCTGTATAATACAGTCTCACTTAATCTCTTCTGGAAAGAGGAATGGATAATTTACCGTGAGACTATATAAAATAATTTGCCAGAAGCACAGTGTAGGAACGGTGCTTTCCTTTCCCTCCATGCCCTCCTGCAGCCCCAGGAAAGAACATCAAAGGTAACAATATGAGACATTGCTTTCAGGATGAGCATTTACACAGTCCCATTGAGCCGCATATGGCATTACATAAAGGCGGGCTTTCAGAGTTCTTTCCCCTGTGTGGATGCTCTTTGTATCTTCAAAGGCTACCGTGGTTGTTAATTCTCAAAAAAAAAAAAAATTCTGAAAGGCAGGTCGCAAGTAATTTTTGCTCTTTTGTGGATAAGATGATAGCAGGACGGTTGTTTCCATACACCGAGGCAACCCAGGAAAGCAGGTATAATCCATCGCATGCATGATGTGTAGCGGCCAACAGGCAAAGAAAGGATGTGCGTGTGTGCACACGGATGCATATTTTTCTTAGTTGCACTGTCCCTAGGTGAATGTATATAAATAGTCTTCCATAAGTATCATATATTTAAAAAATATTTTTCTGAATCATACATCATGATCATATATGGCTTCCTCACCACTCGATGTTAACACAATACCCATTCTGTGTAAACTCGGCATTATATAGGAATATTACTTTACTACTGGCAGGGTCCTCTTAAGCTGCTACCTAAGTTTAGAGATCACCTGTATAAACCAAGACCCTTAAAATATTTTGCAATGAAAACAAGGAGAAATTCCTTTGGTAATTTTACCAAACGTTTGTATTTATGTGACGATTTTGTTTTCTTCTCTTTAATCTCTTTAATAAATGTTTTTCATTTTACATGAAGAATATGAAGCTCTTTGGTTTTTCTTTGATGGGATTTAAACACTGAAAAAGAGACTATAAAGAGGGTTGATGCCAATCAACTATATTAAATCCATTTCTGATTCCATTTCAAAAGAATTATGGCAATAAAAATATAAAAATCCTATCCTGGCCTAATAAGGAGTGCTGGTGACATGCTGGGTGCTGAGCAGGGCAGCAAACCTCAAAGTCAGCAATTTGAAACCAGGACCCACTCAGAGAAAGTGGAGGCTTTCTCATCCCATGACGATTACACTCTTAGGAACCTCCCTTCCCTACTTCACCCCCACCCCTGGGCAGTTCGCCCTGTCCTGTTGAGTCACTGTGAGTCAGAATCAACTCCTAGTACTGAACTTGGAGCTCAGAACCCTACATTCATCACCTACAGCACCGTCCTACCAGTCCAATTTATTCTTTGTAAAATTAAATATCTGTAAAGGAATATGTGACAATTGAAAAGAAATTAATTCCTTTAAAAATCCCATAGCTATTGATGTCTATTATCTTTATTATTTTATCTGAAATTCTCTAAAATAATGTTTATTCAAAATGATTAGAATGTTCTATATGAAAAAGAGTTTGTGATGAATTCCTGTTACTACATTTCTCTAGTCATTTATATTGCCAAATTGAGAAACTGTCAAAGGCCTTAATTAATAAGTCATTGTATATCTTAGTTTAAATGTCAGAGTCACAATGAAACATGGTATCAACCCTTGGAAGAAAAGGTTTATTATATACTCTCCTCAAGCCAGGTAACTGATAAGTCCTTGATAGCATATAATAAAGTAGTAATTTTACTATATCAAGGAGTCTTGTTCATGTAGTGGGTTGTGCATTGGGCTGCTGACCTCAAGATTGGCAGTTCGAAACCACCAGCCCTACTTCAGGATAAAGAGGAGGCTTTCTCCTCCCATAAGGAATTGCAGCCTGGGAAACCTGCAGGCCAGTTCTACCCTTTGGAGGGCTATGAGTCAGAATCAACTCAATGACAGCGAATCTCTTTTGACTTTTTACTGTATAAGATTAATTTTATTTCTAACATACTTTGATTAGTTTTGTTGGTACTCAAGTTGCTTATTCATATAAGTTATGAAACTTATTCGGGGTTGGTTAAGGATGGGAAAGGAGTAGAATGAGTCACCTATTGATGATCACTCAAGAAGAAAAGAGAGTATTTCTGCTCAGTGATTCTTGCTATGATGAAATCAGACAACTGTAGCAAGAATGACTGTCGTAAGAGGTCCTATGATGCTGTCAAGTAAGTGTTGTTAGACTGCTAACTTCAAGGTTGGCGGTTTAAACCCACAGCTGCTCCCCAAAAGAAAGTTGAAGCTATTGGCTCCTTTAAAGATGTATAACCTCAGAAACCCTATTCAGGGTCACTGTGAGTCAGAATCCACTTGATGGCAGTCGGTGTAGACGACTCACAGTGATAGAGCACAACAGAAGCTGAAGACTTGCTCTGTGAATTCACTAGATTGACATTGAAACCCTGGCTCTGTTGCACACTGTGTAATGACATAACCTATTTAAGCCTCCAATGTTCATCTGTAAACTGAAAACAATTATACCTTCCATTAAGGCTCATGTGAAGGTAATAAGAGAGGCCCCTATAAGCAACTCCTTAGCAATTTCTTACGTGGTACACAATACATATAGAATAGAATCTCTAAATTTTATATTTTTATTTGTCATTATTAGAATCAACAAATGGTTTCTTTACCTGCTGCCCTGTCAGGATATGGATACGTAAAATTTTATAGTATAAAGCCAAGACTAGCAAAGATCTCCAATATAAAATGAGAAGATGTTAGCTATTAAGTAAGAATTAAAATCAAGTGCTCTCTCCAGGGAGCGCTAATTTTAAAAAATCCCAACACAATTGAGTTGTTGCTCCCTGGCTGTGGTTTTAGTTGTCATCCGCTGTGCACAGGGCACCTCCTCAGGGGGCCTGTCTCCTGTCCTAGAGATACATTATTGTGAAGGCATTTGTCTTTGAGTTCGCTGAAATGCATCGTGACCAGGTGTATCAGAATCCAAAACTTCTCCAAAGAGTTTTCAAGGGCTGACTTTGCAGAAGGAGATCACCAAGACTCGCTTCCAGACGCCTTGTAGGTAGACTTGAACCGCCAATCTTTCAGCTAACAGCTAAGCAAACAAGTGTCTGCACCACCCCAGGTCCCCTATACTTTACCAAACACCATTCAGTAAGTGAAATTTCCCCCACTGGCTTTTGAAATGAGAAGGTAACGTCTTGACATTTTGATAAAACCATGTGCCTTATACATCAGCATTAAACAAAGCCATATTGGGGGCAGCCGAGAAGTATTGTAAGTGTTTAACTCAGGAGGCCGGCCCTGGAAAGAAAACATGAAAGTGTGTGTGTGTGTGTGTTACAGATTTGTCGCAAGCTCAACGGCATTCGTTTCACTTGCTGTAAAAGTGCCAAAGACAGGACCTCCATGTCGGTGACGCTGGAGCAGTGTTCCGTCTTGAGAGATGAGCACCAGCTGCACAAGGACTTCTTTATCCGGGCCCTGGATTGTATGAGAAGGTATTCCACATGTTGTCATCTCTTTCCATTGTGACGTCATTTTCTGTTTGCTTGCTTTCAGCATTTTACACGTGTTACTGATGTACTGCATCTTTGGTACTTTCATTGCTTTTCCATGGCTTTAGACCTCAGGCATGAAAGAGGATTTTCAGTCCTCCTCCTACTCCTCCGAGGCAATAAAAGAAAATGTGGATCGATTTGGACAGTATTTTTGAAAGATTTATTTCAGGAACTCATTTGGACCCTACTTATAAGGGTTCTGGGCACTTTGTTTAAGCATGGTTAGACAGCGCATTCCCTTGAAAGGTTTCTTATGATATTGTACAAAATGAAAACGTAAGTCATTGTCAAGACAAAGCCTTTCCAAGTGGCACCAGATAGCCGATCAATTCTCCGCTGGCCTGCAGGGTCTTTGGGTCCAGCGTCCTCCTTCCTAAACTTATGTTCACATCACTCATCATAAAGATGGGATGACTCTGGCACTTTAAAATAGCAAATAAAAATTGTTACTCTGCAGACATTTAAGATGCTGTGCCTGAAGTCATGATTCTTGATTCATTGCCACGGTAATTAAAGCTAAAGTGTAAGCCATAATGGTAGGGAAAAGTGCCTCATTCGCAATGTCTGTCAGCAAGGACACACGTTAATTAAAATGTGAAGGGAAATTGTCTCTCTGCCATAAAGACTCACTCAGAAGCACACCAGGAACCATGGGACAGACCCCTGGGCCCAGAAAGGAATGTCCTGTTGGGAGAGAGAGGGGCTGCTTTTACCTGGCTTTCTTTCCTTTCAGTGCCTGTAGTTTGCAGTGGAAACATTAGCGCCTGCCCGCCTTCATTCTATACCTCTCTGTTTCCCTGCTAATGAGCGGTTTCTGAAGTCTTCTATTTTACCCCATCTCATGTCTCTTGGCATTTTCATTGTGCAGTGGATTTGGGGCCTAATTTTGATTAATGAAAGTTTCTGAAGTCTTCCATTTTACCCCATTTCATGTCTCTTGGCATTTTCATTGTGCAGTGGATTTGGGGCCTAATTTTGATAAATGTAAGAGGATGTGTTAAGAAGTCTGACATGAACATCTCAGCCATATTTGGGTTGCTAGAAAGAAAAAAACATTCCTTCAAAATATATCTCTCAGCATTAAGAGAGAGACCATTTAGAATCCTAGTAGAACACCTTCACATGTTCATACAAAGGTGGCAGATGATGGCACAAGGTGCTTTGTGAGGACAATAAAGGCACCTGGTATCACAGGCCAGAGAGACCTGGTAAACATTCTGGATTATGAAATTGCTGTTTATTTATTTAAGGGAAAGGTAGAGAACTCTGATATACTGGCAAGGAAAGATTGTTTATTACATACATGTTAACCTATAAAACCCTTTACTTTGGCGTTCAGGACTAACATTATTTTCCATGGCACATTTGCTCATGACACATTTATGTGATGTGTATGAGAGTTTTATTATTTAGTAGTCGTTAAAATAAAGTGCTAGAAATTGGATCTAAAAACACTATAGGTATTAATTTCCATACACCCACTACTCTGGTTATAGTGTTATTTTAGTAAATTTAACATTTTTCATTTATCCTTTGAGTTATTTTATATATGTATGTGAGTCTCTGTGTGTATGTCTGTATGTACTCAAGGAAAATAAAATGTGTTTTGTTTTTAACAAGTCCCCAGATTTAAAAGCACGGGCATCAGAGCAGAGTGAAAGGAGATGGATTTGTAAGCCAGCAGATCTGAGTTTGAATTTATGTTATGCGCCACTTACTAGCTATGAGCAAGTTAGCATTTACTACCTATTAATTACTTAGATAAATTAGTTTACCTCTTAAGTGATTCTTCAGTTTCTTCATCTGTAAAACAGAGATAATGATAATAATAATAACTTAAGAGTGTCTTGAAGATTAAATGAATTGGCCCATGTTAAAAAAAATGGTTAGCACTTATTACAATACAAAGAATCCTCAAAAAGGTTTGTAGAAATACATTTTAAAATAATTGAACGTTTTTAAAGCTCCTTCCTATAAAGCAGTGGTTCTCAACCTTCCTAATGCCGTGACCCTTTAATACAGTTCCTCATGTGGTGGTGACCCACCTAACCATAAAATTATTGTCATTGCTACTTCATAACTGTCATTTTGCTACTGTTATGAATCAGGTGACCCCTGTGAAAGGGTCGTTTGACCCCCAAAGGTGTCGCGACCCACAGGTTGAGAACCGCTGCTAAAAGGAGTCCTTGAACGGTACAAATATTTAAAGTCCTTGCCTATGACCCAGAATTCTGGAGGCTAAGTTCACTCGGAAAGAAGCTGGAGGAACGCCTGACAATTGAGTTCTCCATAATCAGCCTGTGAAAGTCCTCTGGAGCTGAGTTTTCCATGACACAGGGGTTTGCCCTGAGTCACAATCAAGTCAATGGCAGCTGGTGGTTTAATCACAGTCTGTCTGTTAAATTAATAAAAAGTGCATATCAAGGACTATGGTGTTAGTACCTAATATTCCAGGTAGGGTGAAAGAGTTAATTATGAAATTTTATGATTATGACTACATGGGATGAGACTTAACTCTAATATCATATATTAAAATAATGTCTTCTGGCAACCCCCGTTAATTAAGTTTCAAATTCAGTGTTATATATATATTTAAGTTAAAATGCTCATTAAATGCTTTTTTACAAGTCTACATTTATTTACAAATACTTTCCTGATTATGAATGGATTCTATTTGGTCATTAAAGTAAGCCAAGATAAGTGTCTTCTCATAAATATTTTTAGATATTAATATAGATACTGCAAAGTCTTCCAAATAACCATAGAATCTGAAAGCTTACCTTAGAGGTTTAGTTAAATCCTCTATCTCATAAAAATAATAAGAAATGTGCTCTAGAGAGTGTTTTGGCAAAGATTACGCAACTAGAAAGTATTGGAGACAACCCTAGTGTGTAGTTATGCATTGGACCGCTAACCACCAGGTCAGCAGTTTGAAACTACCAGCCACTTCATGGGAGATAGATGAGGCTTTCTACTCCTTTAAAGAGTCCCAGTCTCACAAACCTGCAAAGGCAGTTCTGCCAGGACCTACAGGGTCACTATAAGTTGAAACCAACTTGAAGGCAGTGAGTTTTTGAGTGATGTCCCTGAAAAGAATAGCATGCTTGGTAAAATGGTCCGTGACCGAGAGGATGACCATCAGTGGAGTGCATTGACAAAGGCCCCGGCACGGGAATGCTTGTGAGGACAGTGTGTGATTCGGCAGTGTTTTATTCTGCTTGACTTAAAGTTGCTGTGAAGCAGAACAAACTCAAACTAGCTGGAACATTTATATTTTGGAGTCCCAGGAAGATGCAAAGAGCTAACGAAAGTAGCTTAGCTACTCACTGAGAGGATGGAGGTTTGAATCTGCCCAGAGGTACCTCAGAAGCAAGGCCTGGCAATCTAAAGCTGAAAAATCAGCCACTGAAAACCCGAAGTATCACAGTTCTCACACATAGGGGCTCACCCTGAGTAAGAGTCCACTTGATGGCACTTGGCAGTAGTTATATTTTAATGGTATTTTTTTTGTATTATATGGTTAAAATAGTATTGTCTAAAACGATTTGTTCATGGAATTATTAGGTCAAAGTTCTTGGTTAACATATTATATAAGCTATGTAAAAATGACCTACTTTTAGGAATTCAAGAGGTGTGCACAAGACCAAAATAATTACCCATTTTCTACAAAACGTGGAGCGCAAAACCTACCCTAGCATATACATTCATAAAGTCCATCTCTGTCTGACATGTTCATCATTGTATCTAGGCATACAATATAGTATCTCACCATGTTTAAACTGTTTTATTATTAGCATATCATTTACATATCATTCAATTCAATAGTTCAATCCCATCTAGAAGAGTTGTAAAATCATCACCACAAGAAAGTCTGTTCCCCAGGGGCCAGCAGTGTTGGAATAGCTTAGTTATTGTTGATAGGGGCTGTCAAATTATTTCCAACTCATATGGACCCTCTGAACAACAGAACAGAGCACTGGCCAGTCCTGCCCCACCCTCACAATTGACGTGAGATTTGAGGCCATTGTTGCAATCATGGTGTGAGGCCAGCTTCTTCTGGGTCTTCCTCATTTTCCATGCCCTTCAATGCATGATGTTCTTTTTCAGGGACTTGTCTCTCCTGATAGCATCTTCAGAGTGCTTGAGATGAAGTCTCATCATCCTGGCTTCTTCGGGCTGAACTTCTCCCAAGGCAGTTAGCAGCCCCCACTAGCCCTCCAGGGCTCTTTTGTTCTATGAATTCTCCTAAATATTAAGGGGGCTCATATATCAGTAAGGTGAATCAGAATAAGTTTAACTATGCAGTCTACCCCTGGGATATAGAACCATAACCATTTAATTTGATCAGAGTTTCATTTTTATGACCATATCAAATTATCCTTATAGAATTTTTAAAAATTTTTATACATAATATTCTCATCTTGTACCATTATACACAATGTTCTCATCTTGTACCATAAAGAAGCTAAGGAGAAAAAATTATCTTGGGAAATAAGTGACTCTTAATCAATTAATGTTACCAAAGTTTTTTTATTTATCATGACTCATGTCCTAGTGGGACTCACGCAAATGTTGAAATAAAAGAATTTCTTCCCTTTGTTTCCCACTTCAGTTTGTTTTTCTATATTTTTGTTTGAGTGCTATTTTCAGACAAGAGTGGCTATTACTTAAGATTATGTCCTATTCCAAATATTAAAGAGAAAAATAAGCATTGTATACAGGTCATTGAAACTTTCCATTGGCTCTTGAAAGGAATGCATGGGTGGAGAGCAGTATAATTGTAAACCACTTTCCCTGTATCACTACATGTTATCTCCTCCCTTTGAGAACATCTGGTGTGCTCATTTTGCTGCTTCAGTACTTTTCTTTGAAAAATGGTAGTAATGAAGCCAGATAGAATAACACGAATCTTAAAAAGTTGGTAATAATTGTACAAAAGC